GGTGGTTTAGGGAGTTTCCTCTGCCAACCCCCTTCTTCCCCTTCGGGGAGGGGTTTACCCCTCCCCTTACCCCTCCCCACTGACCTGGACGGGGCGTTCCGCGGGTCGTTGGGACGGCCAAGATGGCCCAAGACATCTCCAAGAGCGAAAAGGCGAGAAACACACAAAACATTGATTTTACCTAGGTTTTGGAAGGATTTTGGCCTCTCGGGGGGGCCCAAGAGGCGACTCGAGGCACTCTAGAGGGGCAACGCTAATATACGACCCCCCCTTTTTTGATAGATCTCCTCCAAGATGGCCCCAAGAGCGCCCCGAAGGCTCCCAAGAGCGCCCCAAGAGCGCCCCAAGACGGCCCCACGAGGCCCCAAGAGGCCCCCAAGAAGCCTCCAAGAGGCTGCCAAGAGACCCCCAAGAGGCCCCAAGAGCCTCCCAAGATGGCCCAAGACGGCTCCAAGAGCGAAAAGGCGAGAAAGCAAAAAACATTGATTTTACATAGGTTTTGGAACGATTTTGGCCTCTTGGGGGGCCCAAGAGGCGACTCGAGGCACTCTAGAGGGGCAACGCTAATTGGGGACCCCCTCTTCTTTGATCGATCTCCTCCAAGATGGCCCCAAGAGCGCCCCGAAGGCTCCCAAGAGCGCCCCAAGAGCGCCCCAAGAGCGCTCCAAGAGGCCCCAAGAGGCGCCCAAGAGGCCTCCACAAGGCTCCCAAGAGACCCCCAAGAGGCCCAAGAGGCTCCCAAGACGGCCCAAGACGGCTCCAAGAGCGAAAAGGCGAGAAAACACAAAACATTGATTTTATTCAGGTTTTGGAAAGACTTTGGCCTCAAGAAGGGCCCAAGAAGCGATTCGAGGCACTCTAGAGGGGCAGCGCTAATTGGGGACCCCCCCTTCTTTGATAGATCTCCTCCAAGATGGCCCCAAGAGCGCCTCGAAGGCTCCCAAGAGCGCCCCAAGAGCGCCCCAAGAGGGCCCCAAGAGGCCCCAAGAGGCCCCCAAGAGGCCTCCAAGAGGCCCCCAAGAGACCCCCAAGAGGCCACAAGAGGCTCCCCGAGATACGCAAGAGGCCCCCGGGACCGCCAAGAGGCCCCAAAGAGGCCCAAGAGGCCCCCAAGCTCGCCATTGTCCTCCTCCTCCTCTTCTTTTTCTTCCTCCTCCCTCCTCCCCCTCCCCCTCCTCCTCCTCCTCCTCCTCCTCCTCCTCCTCTCCTTTTCCTCCTTCTCGTCCTCGCAGTTCTCCATATCCTCCTCCTTATCTTCCTCCTCCTCCTCCTCCTGCTCCTCCTCCTGCTCCTCCTCCTGCTCCTCCTCTTCCTCCTCCTACTCCGACGACGACGGCTCCTCCTACATCCTCCCCCTCTTGGGGTATATGGCGGCTCACCCCGCCCTTTGTTCTTCTGCATGCTCCCCCGCTTCCCTCATAACCTCCACTCCCCTGGGACTCATTTCTGGACGGGCTGGTGGGGATACGCGAAGCGTCTAGAATTTACTGGGGATCGTGGCCCTGGGAGCGCGGACGCAGCGTAATTTACGAGGGACCGTGGCCCTGGGAGCGCAGACGCAGCGTAATTTACATGGGATCGTGGCCCTGGGAGCGCGGACGCAGCGTCATTTTGAATGGATGCTGGCCCTTGGGGGGCAGAAGCAATGTAATTCACGAGGGAACGTGGCCCTGGGAGCGCGGGCGCAAAGTAATTCACGAGGGAGCGCGGCCCTGGGAGCGCGGACGCAACGTAGTTTGCGAGGGATCGTGGCCCAGGGAGAGCGGACGCAGTGCCATTTTCGAGGGGTCGTGGCCCTGGGAGCGCGGACGCAGCGTAATTTACAATGCCCTGGATCGTGGCCCTTGGGGGGCTGACGCAGTGTAATTCACTAGGGAACGTGGCCCTGGGAGCGCGGACGCAGCGTAATTTCAAGGGATCGTGGCCCCAGGAGCGCGGACGCAGCGTAGTTTACATGGGATCGTGGCCCTGGGAGAGCGGATGCAGCGTCATTTACAAGGGGATCGTGGCCCTGGGAGCGTGGACGCTGTGTAGTTTACGATGTATCGTGGCCGTGGGTGCGCGGGCACAGCGTGATTTACGAGGGATCGTGGCCCTGGGTCAGGGACGTCCCGCGGCACGTTCCCTGACGGGGGCACGGGGGGAGGGGAAGGCACGGGGAGCTCGGTCGGGCAAGGGGGGGGAGGGGCACGATCGGCGGGTCGGAAAAACAAAAGGGGGAGCTCCGGGGGAGGGGGGGGGGGCACGGATTCCCACGCGCCGTACGTGGAGCCAAGCGGGCGTCGCGCGACAATGATTGGGTTGCCGGACCGCCCGGGGGGCGTTGGCAGTGTGTGGAGCTGTCGAGCGTAAGCGCTTTGGTAGTGCCTCAAGTTAGATGTCTTCATGCTCTGAGGGGGGAAGTCGAACTTTGACCTACATGGCTACGGATGATGATGATTCGGATGATGACGTTGATGAGGATGATTATGTTGACGATGATGATGCTTATTATGGCGATAACGATGATGGTGATTACGACGATGACGCCGATGATGGGCGAGCACAATGATTATTTTGATGTTTACGCTGGTGATGTTGATGCTAATGATGACTCGATTATCATGTTCATGTTGCTGCTGCTGCTGCTGCTGATGTGTCTTATGATGCTGCTGCTGCTGATAATGATAGACGGGGGTGCTGGCGATGATGATACAGATGGTGATGCTGATGCTGGTGATGATAATGGTGACGGTGATGGTGATGCAGATGATGCTGCTGACGATGATGATGGTGATGGTGAGGCTGATGGTCATTGTGATGTTGATGATTGTAATGATGATGTTGATGGCGTTCATGCTTGTGACCATACTGATGAGGACGACGGCGATGTTGTTGATGATGGTAATGATGATGATGCTCATGATGATGCTGATGACGCTGCTGATGGGGGTTATGATGATGATGATGATGATGATGATGATGATGATGAGGATGAGTCTTGCGATGCTGATGATGATTGTGGCGGTGATGGCGGCGATGATGATGTTGGTGCTGCTGGCGATGGTGATCATGATGGTGGCGATGATGCTGATGATGACGATGATGATGATAAGGATGATGATGGTGGTTTCGATGATGATGATGCTGATGGTGACAAGCACGATGCTGGTGTTGATGGTGATGAAGATGTTGACGATGACGGTTGTGATGGTGTTGATGATGATGGACGATCCTGATGGCAATGCTGATGTCGTTGATGCTTTCGATGATATTGTTGATGCTGATGCTGATGCTGATGCTGCTGATGCTGGCAATAACGATGCTGATGCTGATGATGCTGCTGAAGATGATGTTGTTGTTGTTGATGCCGATGCTGCTGATGATGCTGATGATGATGACGATGCTGATGCTGATGATGCTGATGATGTTGGTGATGCGTATCATGATGCTGATGCTGATACTGATGCTACTGATGCTGATGATGCTGATGATGACGATGCTGCTGCTGCTGCTGATGATGATGATGCTGATGAAGCTTATGATGATGATGCTGCTGCTGATGATGGTGATGTTGATGCTGATGATGGGGATGGGGATGATGCTGATGCTGATGTTGATGTTGATGATGCTGATGATGCTGATGATGATGCTGATGATGGTGATGGTGATTGTGATGTTGATGATGCTGATGTTGTTGCTGCTGATGATGATGATGCTGATGCTGATGATGATGCTGATGCTGATGCTGATGATGAGCGTGTGTGGAGAAGGTGGAGGCAGAGGACGAGGACGAGGAGGAGGAGGAGGAGGAGGAGGAGGAGGAGGAGGAGATATAACAAATGGTCGCAACGGTGGAGACGGCGGAGGAGGAGGAGGAGGAGGAGGAGGAGGAGGAGGAAGGAGGAGGAGGAGGAGGAGGAGGAGGAGGAGGAGGGAGGAGGAGGAGGAGGGGGTAGGAGTAGGAGGAGAGGAGGAATGTAGAAGGAGGGCGAGGCGGACGAGGAAGAGGAGCAGGAGGAGGAGGAGGAGGAGGAGGAGGAGAGGAGGAGGAGGGGAGGAGGGTTAGGAAGACGAGCAAAAAGGTGAGAAGGAGGGCGACGAGGAGGAGGAGAGGAGGAGGAGGGGAGGAGGAGGCGGAGGAGGAGGAGGAGGACGAGGAGGCGAGGACGATGAGGAGGGTGGGATGAGAGGAGGAGGAGGAGAGGAGGAGGAGGAGGAGGAGGAGGATGAATCTGAGGAGGATGGAGGAGGATGAGGAGGAGGAGGAGGGGAGGAGGAGGAGGAGGAGGGCGAGAAAGAGGAGGGATGAGGAGCATGGCGAGGAGGAGGATGAGGAGGTGGAGGATGAGGAGGAAGATGAGGAGGAGGAGGAGGAGGAGGGCGAGAACGAGGAGGGAGGAGGAGCATGGCGAGGAGGAGGAGGAGGAGGACGAGGAGGAGGAGGAGGAGGAGGAGGAGGAGGGAGGGAGGAGGATGAGGAGGAGGAGCATGGCGAGGATGAGGAGGATGAGGAGGAGGAGGACGAGGAGGAGGAGGAGGAGGAGGAGAGAAAGGGAGGAGGAGGAGGAGGAGGAGGGGAGAAAGAGGAGGGAGAGAGGAGCATGGCGAGAAGAGGACGAGGAGGAGGATGAGGAGGAGATGGAAGAGGAGGAGGAGGACTGCGAGAAAGAGGAGGGAGGAGGAGCATGGCGAGGAGGAGGATGAGGAGGGGGAGGGGGAGGAGGAGGAGGAGAAGGAGGAGAGGGAGGAGGAGGAGAAAGAAGGAGGAGGAGGAGGAGGAGGAGGGCGAGAAAGAGGAGGGAGGAGGAGCATGGCGAGGAGGAGGAGGAGGAGGATGAGGAGGAGGAGGAGGGGGAGGAGGAGGAGGAGTAGGGCGAGACAGAGGAGGGAGGAGGAGCATGGCGAGGAGGAGGTGGATGAGGAGGGAAGGGAGGAGGAGGGGGAGTTGGACGAGGTCTGATCTGGGTCGTGTAAAGCTGTGACGCATGGGGGTGGCGGGGCGAGCCGCCGCCTGCCAGGCGATCGACCGCATGCGCCGGGGCTCCAATCTGCTGAAGCACACCACGTGCGGCTTTCCGCATCTAAGGCGCCCGAAGAGGATGCTGGTGGTTGTGATGATAGTGATTCTGATGCTGATGCTGCTGATGATGGTTTTGCTGCTGCTGATGATGATGATGCTGATGCTGATGCTGATGATGGATATGATGATGGTACTGATGATGATGATGATGAGGATGGTGATGATGATGATACTGCTGCTGCTGCTGCTGATGATGATGATGCCGATGCTGATGATGATGATGCCGATGATGGTGATGATCGGGGTGCTGACGATGACGATGCTGATGATGATGATGATGCTGGTGGTGATGGTGATGGTGATTGTGATGCAGATGCGGATGCTGCTGCTCACGATGAGGATGGTGAGCTGTCAGGTTGATGGCCATGCTCATAGGATGATCGTGATCATGATTATGATGCTGACTATGATGATGATGCAACTGATGATGCTGTTGCTGATGATGGTGATGGCGATGACGGTGACGACGATGATGATGATGCTGGTGATGATGCTGATGCTGATGCTGATATGGTGCTGGTACTGACGACGACGCTGCTGACGCTGATGCTGATATTGCTGATGCTGCGTGCGGTGGTGGTGGTGATCATAATGGGGGTGGTGATGGTGGTTGTGGTCATCATGATCATCTTGGTTATGATGATGGTCGGGTTGGCGATCATGGTGATGATGATGATGATGCTGATGCTGATGCTGATGATGGTGGTGGTGTCGATGAATCTGACGCATCATGCTGCTGATTATGGTGCTGGTGGTGGTGGTGATGGATGATTATGGCGAGGAGGAGTACGATGGTGATGGTGCTGATGCTGATGATGCTGATGATGATGCTGCTGCTGATGATGATGATTGTGGTTGTGATGGTAAGGGTGATGATGCTGATTATGATGACGGTGAATCTGCTGATGATGATGCTGATGCTGCTGCTGATGCCTCATAGCGATGATGATGCTGATTATGATGATGCTTCTGATGATGGTGCCCCTGAGGCTGCTGCAACCGATGTTGCTGATCATGATCATGTTGCTGCTGATGATGACGATGCTGCTGCTGATGATGTTGATGCTGATGATGGTGTTACTGATGATGCTGATTCAACTGATTATGATGATGCTGCTGCTGATGATGATGATGATGCTGATGCTGATGATGATGATGATGATGATGATGGTGATGCTGCTGCTTTTGATGATGATGCTGTTGCTACTGATGCTGATGATGGTGATGTTGATGCCGATGATGTTGCTGATGATGACGATGATGATGATGCTGATGATGCTGCTGCTGCTGATGCTGATGCTGATGCTGATGCTGACGCTGATGCTGATGCTGATGGGGTGGTGGTAGTGGTGGTGGTCGTGATGATGGTGACCATGAGGCGGAGGTTTCGAACTGTTTCCGGGCTCTGGAGGCCGTTCCCCCGGCCAGAGACAGTCGAACAGCGACTGAGGACGAACAGCCGGCCCTGAGGAAGTGGTCGAGATTGCGGGTCGACGTTGTGACCAGGAAGAGATGGCGGGGGGGGAGGAGGAGGCGTAGGAGTTGAAGGAGGAGGAGGACTAGTGTGAGGAGGAGGAGGAGGAGGAGGAGGAGGGGGAGGAGGAGGAGGAGGAGGAGGAGGAGGAGGAGGAGGAGGAAGAAGAGGACTAGGAGGAGGGGGAGGACGATCCCCCTTCGTCTTCTGCCCCTCCTCGTTTTCTCCCCCCCCCCTCCTCGTTTCTTCCCCCCTCCTTGCCTGCTTCTCCCGTCACCTCCCATCCCCTCCCCTCCCCGCCCTCCTCTCTCCCCCTCCTTCCCCCCGTCGTACCCTCTCTGTCCATCCCCTGGATGAGGACGGGAAGGAGAAGCAGCTGGGGTAGGAGGACGGATGGACTAGGGTGGAGGGAGGAGAAGGAGGAGGAGGAGGAGGAGGAGGACAAGGGTGAGGAGGAGGAGGAGTAGGAGGAGGAGACGGAGGAGGAGGAGGAGGTGGAGGAGCAGGAGGAGGAGGAGGAGGAGGAGCAGGAGGGAGTCAGGGAGGACGAGGAGGAGGAGGAAGAGGAGGAGGAGGAGGAGGAGGAGAAGGAGGGGAGGAGGAGGAGGAGGAGTGGGGAAGAAGGAGGGAGGGGGGAGGACGTAGGGAGGGAGGGGGAGGGAGGAAGGGAGGGAGGGAGGGAGGGAGGGAGGAGGATGAGGAGGAGGAGGAAGAGGAGGAGGGAGGAGGAGGATGAGGAGGAGGAGCAGGAGGAGCAGGAGGAGGAGGAGGCGGAAGGGGGAATGATGATGAAGACGAGGATCTGGACACGGTAGAGGCTGACTCAGGAGGAAGAGCAGGACGATGAGGATGAGGAGGAACGAGATGTTGTTGTTGAGCGTTCTGATGCCGCTTTGGCCTCGAACTGCGTCATCCCCGCCACGCTCAGAGTTTTTCTGCCCTTTGTCCTCTTCTCTTCCCTTTT